GGGGGCTGCAAGCAGCTTCCAAAGAAATACGAGTAATTAATGTTACTGTGTTCAATACAAATATAAGTATAATATTTATAGTTCTTCATTATTTATCGGGTGTAGATAGCGTATGCAACTCTTATGTTATGGTTATTAATATACTCGCATAAACCCGGTTAAAGCTCGTGTATCAATTACCATTATTACATGATCGGTGCATAATATATTACTGCACAACCTTTTTGAAGATTGCATGACGAATGAAATTTAACTATAAAATATTATCGAGAAACTCTTACGAAATGAAAGTAGACTAGAGTTTGAAAACACTGAGTATCTATGACCGATTAGTGAGTATATCAAGATAGCGTGTTTTTGTGAAAAAACTGAGAATTTTCAAGGTATTTATGTTTTGCTTTGAATTATTCAATTCATATCCATTTCGTTATCAACAATAAGGGTGGACTGTGTAACTTCGTAACATATTTGAATTTCGATTAGACTCATCAAGTACTTTCGTTACCAAAAATTTTCGATCTCCCGGTAGCCGGCAGTCGGGCGGTTCGACGTGGGTGCTTTGTTCACTCAGTCAATCGGCCAATGTGTGAGCCGATGGTTCAAGCTGCAGGCTGAACGCTCGATTTTTACTTGCTATCGTCCAACCCGTGTTAGGAATCACACGTTAAAAGGTAAGACCTCGTTAGTCCTTAGCTCGCGCAAGTTTCGACTTCTGAGGGTTGACGTTCGCAGGGGTGCGGTAGCTTGTTAACGGAAAAAACATAACATCTTATTTTAACAAATCCTTCACCATTCTAAAGCATTTGAACCTTCGCCATTTTATAGAGTTTGTGCTTTCGCCATATATTTTGGTTCGGCTATCATTTATACACACTGTGTGGACATAATAACTCCTCTCGTTATATTTCTACGGAATGAATTATCAAAGTCGTGCAATATAAACATAAAAAATATCATTTTCAGTGTATGATAGTGTGGAGATATAATATTCTTCAATTTTAGTTTCATCAAAATTTTCAATTACTGATGGGGCATCAATATTTATATACTGGTAGTATAGATTTGAAGAATGCGAATATTTTTTACCTGAGCTTTCGACGGGTGGGGGCCACCTTGAAATTCTAAGATTCCATAGGCGTCCGTGGAACTGGAAATTGTGCATTTGCTCGGATACCATAATTCTCCTGGCAACGGAGGATTTGTATCGGTGGACGATTTATGTTGTTCCAAAGTTCGGCCGCAGCAACATCTGAAAAAAAACGAACGTATTACAATTCAAACCATTTTTAAGTAATCGCAAATATACATTTGATTCATCATATAAATAAAAACCAAACAACCTGTAACTCATTTCAATGAGAATATTTACATGAAATTCATACCTGAACCTTTAATCTCACGGTAAGCGGCTACACCTACACCATTTTTTTCAACGACATTGGTGGTGTCGAGTGAAAGGTCTTTTGTATCCCTATTACTTTGTGATTTTGCTCAAAATTGGTTCATAATTGAAAAAAATTGATGTTGAACGTTTCATTTGATGAAAAACTTAATTAGTTTTGATCTTCCTCTACGCTACATAAAAAATTCCAAACAGTGCATCACAAGTACGCAAAAACGTATTGGAAATTAGAAAAAGTGGAAAATATAAAATTGTTTCGTGACATAAAAAAGACAGTCTTTGAAATTAATCAAAAAAGGGCCACCTGGGCAATATTTCGAAATAGATGAATAGAATAGATTACAGTTTTTGTTGAAGTCAGTTATCGTAGAACATAAAATACACAGTTGAGTACTGTCAATTCGTCTAACGAATTGTTGAAAATGATTCGGCTTTTTGTATAAATATATAGATTTTCCCAACAGGGATTTCCGAATTCTAACAATTGATAACAGCCATCTTGTTGAACCTTAATCTGTCAAATTAGTTTATTCAGTCATTTATTAAGTCAGTTTTTGCCAAATCACCATGGACGGATAAAGCATTCAACAACACGTGCAAATAATAAAATTGTTGAATCGAAATGGGTGTTCTGTTCGGGTAACATACCGCGCGCTTCGCCCATTTTACCCTCGCCATAATTGTCCTACCGACAGGACTATTCGCAATGTGGTAGATGAATTTGAGTCCACTGGTTCAGTAAATGATTGACGAACACCCTTACGTCGACGAAACGCAAGATGTACCAAAAACATCGCCGCTGTCTGTGAGAGTGTCCAGGAGAATCCGAGGCAGTCGATTTCGGTCTTTCGCAGACCACAACTTGGCAAATTCTACGTCGTGACTTAGTCTCCTGCACCCGTACAAAATTCAACCGACCCAGGAACATAAACGACCATAGATAACGACGTGTGTTGGCCGAATGTGCTCTGGAGCAATCGACACTAATTCTTATCGATAAATCATCTTCAGCGATGAGGCCCATTTCTGGATGAATGGGTACGTGAACAAACAAAATTGTCGAATTTGGTGTGGATTTTGAGCCAGCGACATCATCGGTCAATATTTCTTTGGGAACAGAGAGTATTGTAGATCGATAATTACCAACTTCTTTGAGGGCATGGCCATCTCACGTGGAGGTGATATAAACAGCAGAATCACCCTAGTTAATAGAGTTGCCGAACTAATTGAACTGGTATAAGTCGTGAAATATCAATTGAGTGTATCGTCTGAATGGGAAAGTTTCATAAGGAATCCGAGACATTGTGACTGGGGTCACAAGAATTTCCGAAGAGTAACTTGTCAAATAACAATGGTTGAAAAAAAATAGAAAGCCATGGCTATACTTGATGGTGTTATTGAAAGTGAGCAAGAGTAAATGATATCAACAAGCAGCTAGACAAAAAGAAATGTGATGCAACGAAAGCAATCCTTGTAGGAATCTTTTTCGAAAAACTCTAGACTGTTCGTTACTGATACAAAAGAAAGTAGTCATCAGTTGTGATATCCAATTCGATGATGAACATTTAAGAAGTAATTGAATAAATATGCATATTAATTCAGCTGATTCTGATAGAGATGAATATGAAGAAAATAATGAACCAATAGATTTTTAAATGTTATTTGAAAATAGTGTGATACAAGAAGATATGACTAGATGAAATGTTATTTACTATAATGGAAATTCTATATGTTCATACAATTTTCGAAAAATAAAAACCCAACCAAGATTTGTTCACCGTATGTTCATTCAGCAACTATATTCGAACAGAATATACTGTGCATTTCTTTAATGTCTTCCCCTTTTAATTTTTTGAACGAGTCAACTTAATAAAATTGAAATTTGGGATAATGTTATTGATGCATGAATAATTGACAGATGACACTTTCAATATGGCGACAGGGCACCATCTGGGGAAAAAAACTAATAATTCACAACCCTAGAATATGAATTCAATATCTTCACCTACTACAAAATGGCGGAACATTTATTAATTTCCTGAAGACAAATAAATTAATATCGATATTTCTAGAAATATTCCTTTTTATCTGCCATATGGCAATACCAACAACCCGATAAGGTTTGTTAATTATTTTTTATTTATAAAAACGACAAACGACAAAAAATGTCAGTACGACAATGAACATCATTGTTCAGTTAGAATATTCTCATTTAGTTTTCGGTTTTACTAGCAGAAAGGTACCACGTCAACAGTCTCTAAAATGGTCAATACTCGTCCATTGAAAAAAAAAATTGAAGCGATTTTTATTTACATCGCGACGCGTAATTTTCACGAGACCAAACGGAGTTTCAAAGAACGTTTTCTGAATCGTCCTATCTGTAGAAAATATTTGAGGGAACTTGTATCCAAATTCACAACTACCGGTAGTGAACATAACAAAAAGCCCCCAGGTCATCCTTCCATTCCGGAAGAACAGCAAGTACGAAAAATTGGTGGGATGGTAGTAAATCCTGAACACTCTAATTATCCGTCGCGAATGTTTGTGAGTTGTCTCCTTCTACTGTGAGGAGACTTTTGAAGAGAAATTGCTATCATCCATACAACATTAAATGAATTAACTGAAGATGACCCTGATCGAAGAACAGAATTCTGCGAAATCATGACGGAAACCATGGCAAGGCATCTTACCTATCTCCACAATATTTGTTTTAGTGACGAATGTACATTTTTTTAAACGGCAATGTTCGGGGACAAAATTGCCGTTATTGGAGTGACACCTACCCTCACTGGATCCTGCGTGAGAAGGAAATATTAAGAGCAGATAGTTGTTGGTTCACAGATGGATCAAAAACACCTTCCGGTTCTGGTGCAGGTGTTTTCAGTGGCAGACCCAGGACAGAGTTATCTACCTGCCTAGGAACTTATGCGACTGTATTTCAAGCGGAAATC